AGTGGACTTCCCAGGCAGCTTTTCTGCACGTCTCAGCTGCTTCTAGGTGATTGAAAGCTATTAATATGCCACAGTCCATGGTGATGATGATTAAACCTTGTTTGCCAATAACTTCTTGTGTTCTATCAAGGCCAACATATTAATATTGCAAGAGAAACAAAGGTTACTGAATTGAGTGGACAGGGGACTCAGATGCTGAACCTGTTTCTTGACTTTGGGTAAAATTCTTGATCTTCCTGCATTTCAATTATAAAATGGATGAGGGAGGGGGTGGTAAGAAAGAGTGGTTAGTGGGGAAGTGCCTAATTTACCTGGCATATGTGAGAAATGAGTCATTTTACATAAGTCACTTTTCTAGAAAACTGAAACTCCAAACTTGATAACATTTTATGTGAGAATTTTTCTAAACCATGTTGCATACTTCCCTACCTTCTTAAACAGGAGGCATTGAATGCACTTACATTTTTCTCCATAGTGCCTGGCATACAGCAGGTACCTAATGAATAATTGTTGATTGACCGATCATTTTGCTTATTCAAAATCATCTTTAGGAACCTTAATTAGTGAACTGTTATGTAGTGTAGTATCGGCCTCGAGGCCTGTTGAAGTGTATAGCGCTGTTATTTCCCACTCTGTTAAATGACCCAAGACTACTGTGTCTTTTTTGGTTCTTGTGTCTGAAGTCTGCTGTTTTTATCAGACTTTCAGTCATTCTTCCTTGCCATTGTCATTGGACCTACGTCTAGCACTCTGGTCCCATTCTCTAACTTGTGGCTTATAATTTCACAGCAACCCTGTGAGATAGGAGTCCTTATTTATGGGGTCCAAAATTGTCCAACCTACAATAGAAGAAACTGAGGCAGAGCTCTGGACCAATTGCACTTTATTAAAGGGTCCATGGTCCCCTCTAATGAAGTGGATCTCAGATCTCCCTCATGATTTGTGATGCCTCCTTCTTCCAGGGCCCTAGTTTTATAGTGCTTGGTACCCAGGTGATGCAGAAGAGGCACAGTAAAATGCAGAGTCTTATTGGTTGATACACCTTGACCTTAATCCTCCAAGAGGGTCTACATGAAATATAGACTCACTTTGGTTGACAAATGAGCTGGCATGCAGACCTTGAGGGACCTTTCAGGAGGTCCTACCAAGCCAATGAGTAGACCTGTGTTATCAGGCTGATAAACAGATGTGAAAATATCTATGTGGGCCAATGGGCCAAGTAGAAAGGCAGTCCATGGGCTGCCAAACACTTCATGGTTAAATGCTCATAGCCATCTCCCCATGTTGGGCAACAGAAGGATGACCAGGGACAGAAGGGCAGCAAAAATAGCTGGGGGATTTTCCATGTAATTGAGTTATCTCTACCACACTGGGATTGGTCACCATCACGAGGCAAAAACAAGGGTGGAGGTCCTCTGGACAGTTTCCTATGACTAAATAAGTGAACTTACAACTTGCAGTTCACAGCTCTGGGGCCTAATATACAGAAGTTATAATCACTACCCCTGTGGAATCATATCAAGTTGATGAATACTGATTGGAATAAAATAGAGGTCTAATTAATCATCTACCACATATTATCCCCATCCTATAGATGAGGCAACTGAGGCTGAAAAAGAGTTAAGTGACTTACACAAGGTGATGAATTTCTGAGGCTATGTTAAAAACCAAGTCATTTTGACTCCAAGTCCAGAATTCTCTCTACTATATCATGCTACCACCCTTATATAGATAAAAGTCCCTAGAACTTCATTTCCTATTCTCTCATTAGAAGAAATTCCTTGGACTCTATTTCCAAGGACTCTGTATGTCTGGCTACAAAGCATTGGTGCCACCAGTTGAAGACTTCAGTTGGTGGAAAGTCTTCTAGGAAAGGAGGTCTGAAAAAAAAAAAGGAGAACTGTTGAAGGCATCAATGAGTGGGACCAGGAAAGATGAGGCAGAGTGAGAGAAGAGAGGCAGAAGGAGGAGCCTGGGAAGTGGTGCTGCTACGGGAGTCCTGGGAGAATCTCGATGGTCCCAGACTAGAGGAAGGAGTCACTAACAGCTCTCTGACTTGCTTCCCAAAAGGCTTTTATAGATTCTCATGAAGCAGCCAGCACCAAACTCCGAGCTTTTTACTACTGGGCCATGAATTCAGAGACACTCTTGATTTCCTGTGAGACTGCATAAAAATCATATTTTATTGTTACCTTTTTATATTACCTTCATTCAAGGGTATGCTGGTAAATATATAACAACCTGCTTTTCTATACACACCTCTAGTTAGACAGATGTATATATAGATAGATATAGATATATGTGTTAGTATACATGTATATATGCAATATGCACGTGTTTATACATATGTGTATACACACACGTTTTGTTGAACAGTTTCAGTCATGTCTGATTCTCCATGACCCCATGGTCATGAAAAATTTGGCAACAGTAAAAAGTTTATAAACATATAACAACCAAAAATTAATTAAAAATCAAATATGTAATGAATCCAAGGTGTTATGTTATGCAACTTCACTGCAACCTTGGTCCTGAACACAAAGCATGCGCACTTTGTACTGTGCATACCTTCAGGCCATGCAACACCAACTAACACTGCCAAAACAGAAAAGGCTTCATGAGTGAAAAAAATTAAAGAAGTCCTGCTCTAGGCAACTAAAATTATAAACAGCAGAAAAGATGCTCCCAATCTGCATTGGTAGAGGGAATTTCCTCTTACAGCGATTCCCTTTGCCAATGAAATCATATTTGCTTCCCCCATTAAATGTGAGCTCCATTACAGTAGGGAGTGTCTTTTTGTCTTTCTTTGTATCACTAGAGCTTAGCATAGTGCCTGGTACACTATAGGTGCTTAATAAATGCTGGTTGATTGCCTGCCCCCTTTTCTAGCCTAGATTATAAAAATTTTAGAACCTACAAGGAATTTTACCCATTTGTTTATGGAGTGGCTAAGAATGATTCTATTAATCTCAATTATCTTTCCTTGTTCATTATATGGCTAGTGTGTCTTAACTAATTGTTTTGTTATTTCCTTTTTTATTTGCATGGTCTGTAAGTAATTAGAGAATATTCCTCTGGTTGGGGCTCAGACTGCAATATGAATAATTTATTTTCCCAAGCACCCAACCCGGAACCTAGGTGAATAAGCAAGGGTTTCCAGAGACAAGAGTTCTCAGGGGTCTTGAGGCAACCCTTGTTACATTGCCGATTCATTCTTTTCTTGGAGCTCAAGCTCTAGCCAGAGCCTACTCCAGTTCCTCATCAGAGAGGGCAGGTGACCTTGGGTTTTCAAATGCTTTACTAGCAGCTCATAAGTTCTTCTATACCTGAGACTATGTCTGATGATGAACCTTGTCTGCTGTTCAAGGACGAGTTTAGGTTGATTCAGGAAGACTCATCATTTCATTGGCCACCAGGTAAAGGACTGTTTCATCCACCACAGCTATTAGAGACCATCTGTGAAGTTGTAGAGATGTTGTAACCTGTATTATGGAAGGAATGTTCACACCAACAAAAGCATGCAATAAGGTCAACAACCCTTAAATAATTAAAGCCACTGCTGAATCGTTTTTGCTAACAAAATCTCCATTTGGGTTTCTACAACTTGAAAAATCCTGATTTCACCACACAGGCTCTGATCACAAGAGATTCGTCTTTGTCACTGCCATCTATTCCCTACTTCAGCCCAGAACCAACCCATATATTGTATCACAGGCCCAGAACAGGGGACTCCCTTGGAATCTCTTCTCAATTGTTCCATGCTTACTATGGCGAGGATAAAAGTATGAACTGAGGAAGTAGGAGCCTCTGTCATATGAGTTTTCCAAGCTGCCTAGATGCCCAGAAGAATGCAGACACAGCAGACAAGGTGATGAAGAGCCTGGATGACAATAGTGATGGTTGACTTCTAGGAGCATGTAGGACAGGTGGTAGCACTCATAGGGGCCTGCAATGACTTCTGGGAGAATAGTTGAGCAGACAGCTCAGTCCTGGCCAGCACCATCCACCCAGCATCACTCTCCACATAGCCCTACTTCTGCCTCCAGATTCTCCAACTTCCTTGTCCCAGGATTGGCCAGAGAATTAGATATCTGATGCTCTGCTGTTCATTAAAGGCTTTAATAAACAAATCTTTTTTTCTAGGGAATCATTTTATAGCATCAATTAATCAACAAGCATCTATTAAATACCTACTGGGTGTCATGGTAAAAATGCTACAATTGCTGCCCTCAAGGAGCTTATATTTCATTAGGAGAAACATCATATACACATGAAAGCATAATTCCTGAGCTTCTGCCAGGTGCTGCAAACCATCAGATCCAAGATCACAACAGTGCCTGATTCATTTGGAGCCACCTGTTTCTTGGACTTTGCAAGACAGGAGATACCTAGTGCTCAAACTATCACGGACCTCTTTATAGATAGCATTTTACTATGTATGGTAGAGATATCATGGGATAATGGATAGAGGCCAGCTTCAGAGTAAGGAAGATCTGAGCTCAAGCCCCAACACTGACATCTAATGGTTGTGGACTCTTAGGCAAGTTATTTAGCCTCTTGGTGCAGAGAAATGGCAAAAATAAGTGTTAAGTACTTACCATGTATATATATGCAGGTCACTAGGCAGGTGCAAATGGCATTGACACAGAAGATTTGCTTATCTGGCATTCACAACATATGGCAAGATATAATATAGCAGTGAAATCTCAAGACCAGTCCAAAACAAACAAAAAAATACTCATTCAATCAGTCAACAGTTATTGGTGATTGGTCAAATTATAAGGAGTCCTTACAACAATTATTGAGACCTCCTTTCATCTAAACTTAATCTTAACATTTTTTCACCTGTCTGATTGTAATGGCCCTCCCTGCCCCCAGGGGCTCTGTGAGGATTAAAGTTCTCTAAATGTATACACAGCTGAAGGTGTGGCTGTGGGTGAAGGGTGTTCTGTGGCATAACTGTCATAGATGTCACTGACATAATGAATGCTTTATTTCAGGGGTATGACCCGCTGGGGGGAGTTTGATGACCTCTATCGCATCAGTGAGCTGGAGAAGAAACAGAGTTCTGTGCAGGAAGCCAAAGATCCCCAAGACGGTCAGTGTCAATACCTTCTGTGGCATGTGTGGTATTCCTTGGAAGCAATGGCAAAAGGTTAATCCTTGATTCTCTGAAATTTGCCTTTTTTACTCATTACCAGCCAAAAGGTTTACTTGGAAACCACTTTCATCATTTGGTCTCATAATGCCTGCATATGTGTAAAGTAATTTTAAAAGGAAAAGATTCTATGCCAACGTAAACTGGTATTCATGATTTTGGTTATGATGGTGGTTATTTGATGCTTTGGAGATCATCATTGCCATTATGACTAATACTTTCACCCACTGTCTGGCTGTTTTCTATGTTTTAGCAGGATTGGTACATACACCTGTCACTGTCTTATCATAATTTCTCAAAACTGAGTGAAATTTCTACATAAAATTATAGCAATTTGTGCCAATATCGCTTTTGATGTCCATTTCTCACTGTTCACTGCTAATTACTTATTTACGTAGTTTAGGTTGGAGTTTTTCCAATTGTACAGCCTATCTTTTTTATTTTAATTTTTATTTTTTTTTCTTGCTTTTTCTTAACTTTTTATCTTTGCCTTGACAAGTTGGTGGTCTAAGTAGACCCAGATAGCTGATTTCAAGAACAGCTCCCACATCAGCATCAAGTCTTTTCATGTTTGTGAAAATATAATCTATTTCATCCTTTACAGTGTTCTTTGGTCCAGTATCTACCAATTCTTTTCTCAAAGAAAGCATTCATAACATAAAGTCATGAGACTTCCGTGTAATCTCTAAGTTTATGATTTCTCTCAATAGTTCTTCCTGAACTACTCTTCCCCAAGTATGAGCTTTCCCTACTCATGAGAGCTCTTATTTTTTTTAAAGAATCTCCCTCTTCAGATAGTGGCTTGCTGATTAATTTCCAGGTATTATCTTCTACTAAGGGGCAGCTAGGTGGTGCAGTGGATAGAGCACCCAGCCTGCAGTCAGGAAGACTCATCTTCCTGAGCTCAAATCTGGCCATAGATATTTACTAGCTCTGTGACCCTGGACAAGTTACTTAACCCTGTTCACCTCAGTTTCCCCATCTGTAAAATAAGCTGAGAGAAAAATAGCAAACCACTTCAGTATCTTTGCTAAGAAAACTCCAAATGGGGTTATGCAGAGTCAGACACAACTGAAAAAAATGACTCAAAAACAACACCCACATCATCTCCCACTAACCATATTTCAAGATTTTTTTCAATGATTAAATAGAGCTAGAAATTCACAGAGCTCTACCTAAATGACTTCCTCCAGCTTGACCTTGTTATAAATCGAATTGCATTCATCCAAGTCTTCTATGACTCTTTATTTTTATAATAACCTAATCTTACATTCTGTACCTACTCCTAATTTCAGGAAGTCCCTAAAGAGCTCCATGCCCATAACACAACAATATGTTTCAACTAATTCAACCCCCATTTTTTTCAGGATTGAATAGTCAGCAAACCACGTCTGCTACCATAAGCCCTAAGCATGTAATATTGTGCAGCAGTGACGCAATGCAACAATGCTATGTAAAATTAATATGTGGCAAATGAATCAGTAAATATGTGTCAGTTGGTAGCAATGAAACAGATAATAAGCCCATGACTATGAGAAACAGTTTGAATAAATGCATTCATGTGCCAGCAACCAGTATTTAATTAGACAGACAACATCTAATAGGTCAGTCCAACATATATAAGCACCAGCAAAAACACCACCACCAAAAAATGTATTTACAATCCTTCTATTACTGCAATAGTCTTCCTTCATCTCTTCCTTCCTCCCTCCCTCCTCTCCTTTCCCTCCGTCCATATAGAGAAACATACCCTTATCTGCAGGTGTTCTGCCCAAAGGAATATAAATCTTGATCAGTGAAACCTCTCAAGATATCTTAGGGTTTATGGGCAAGATATTTTTCCCTCTTCCCTATGTATTTATTCTATCATTCAAAAAAAGAACTGGGGGGAAGCAGGTAGGTGGCACAATGGATAGAGCTCTGGTCTTAGAGTCAGGAGGACCTGAGTTCAAATCCATCCTCAGACACTTGACACTTACTAGCTATGTGACCCTGGACAAGTCACTTAACCCTGATTGCCTCACCAAAAAGAAAAAAAAAAACTGGGACAACTAACTCTTTTGCCCCATGTAGTTTATTTTATGATTTCTTGAAATACAGCACTGGAAAACCAGACTTCGATGAAGGCCATTGGGATTAAAATGAAGCTACTTGACCCTTAAACCCAAATCACCCAGGCTCTCGCTAATTGGCCAACAACAGGTCCCAGCCCAAGCCTCACTTGGTCATTGTTTGAGTTTTAGTGGCTCAGAGTGAGTGTAAATAACAATTGTTTCTGTTCTGGCCTGAAACCCTCTTGATTTTTTTTTTTACTAGGTAAAAGAGGCCATTTTTTGCCTCATTTCTTACCTAGCCTTAATCACTGAATGGGTGTTACCTCAGACAAGCTGAGAGCTTAAAAAGGCCAAGGTCTCCCACTGCTTCTGGGGCCATCTCCAGTCATCCTGATCTATATCTTGCCACTGGGCCCAGATGGCTCTGGAAGAGAAAATGGGGCTGGTGACTTTGCACAGCCCTTCCTCACTTAAAATCCAGTTCGCTTTCAAGTCAGGACATCACCTTCTTGATGTCATTGGTCCTCTTTGAGAACAAAGGACAAACAACAACAATTACTGCAGTGAATTGATTATTAAAGAAGAAATTTTCCATGGGACACAAACCAAATTTTTATTTGAAGAACCACTGAGTCTTCCTGTCATTGGGTGGGGGTTTTTTTAAGTACATAAGCAAGAAGATCTTTTTTGAAAACTGATAAATAGATGTATAGAATAATTTTACATACACATATTGTGTGTGTGTGTATTTATATATTTAAAAGGAATAGCAAGTTGTACATAATAGTTTGCAGTTTCACATGCAATCAGCTTTTTTAAATTATACTATGTTATGGAAATGATTGTTTCATTCCATAAATTAAAAATAAAATAAATACATATAAAAAAGGAAAAAATTCAGAAAATTATTTCAAAAGAAAGCAAGCAAATTGAATTAATATTCAGCTTAAAGAAGAGAGAAAAATAATGGAAAAATCAATAACTATTTTGAGGGGGTAGGGAATCCCCAAGGTGGTTTTTGTAAGATCTAAAAATCCCAAAGGCAAGAGAGAAAGAAAATAACATTTGAAAAATAATCTGAAGGAGAAAACAATTAAAATTGAAAATTACAAAGAACAAGTACAGTTAAAAGAAGTATCAGAAGATGTCTTTCATCTTTTGCAGAGATGGAAAGTCTACTTGGGTGGAACATTACATATATTTTCAGATATGTTCAGTGTTTTAATTAATTTTGCTGATTTTCTTTTCTTTTTCCTCTTAATTTTCTTATCTTTTACGATATTATTTGTAATATGGGATGGCTTTCTGGGAGGAAGAGGGAGAAAGATATAAGGGGAAAGTGAGGCAATGTAAAAAAAGATATCAATAAAAGTTTACTTTTAAAATAACAGGGAGAGATATAAAAAGGAGATCAGACATCTCATGGAGCTGTTCCATATGTAATGGTTCTCATGAGTAATAGAGTTCATGTGTATAATAAAGTCCAGAGATAGTATGGGACCCAGATGTAATATGTCCCATTTGCAGGGAATGATGAGTTTTGTATTTGGTGCTAATACCATGTTAACAGCTCAATTACAGTATTGCCAAGGCTGAGCAGGTCATGATGCCCTTTCTCCAGCCTTCAGTGCTCAGCTCAATTTTCCATATGAGTTTTTTAATATCTATTGCCAAGAACTAGCTGCCCAAACAGTGACAACGAAGACAACAACAAAATCTAGATTCAGATGTTCTCTCTTGTTAGTTCCAGAGCCTTCCCCTCCATTCCTCTACTGCTGGAGGGAGAAACAAACCTCTTCCCTCTACCAATCACGTCATTGTAAACGTCATTATGCCATTCAGTATTGTAGACCTGAAACTATCTCTCTCTCTCTCTCTCTCTCTCTCTCTCTCTCTCTCTTCCTTCCCTCTCTCCATAGATATATAGTGGGAATGAATTTTTAAAAAGGGAAATCATAGAGATTAATTGGGGAGCCATTCAACTGAAATACCAGTCATCCCTATAGGAAATATAAGCTCCTCTCCCGTCTCTTAGAGAGAGTGAGAATAAGAGGTGAATGTTCAGTCAGTTAATGGAGGCCCCCTTGTCTGCTAGCAATGGAGGTATCAGGTACCCGGTATAGGGGTATGAGTATCTCAGCAGCCCACTCCAAAGCTGCTGCAGCTCCACTCCGGCATACCTTTGGCTCCATCATCTTCTCTCAGGATCATCACCAAGCATTCCCCTCAGGTTTTACCCAGTTTCCTGCTGAAACAGTCTAGCTTACACAATCCTAGCCTCCACCTCTTCAGAACAGCAGCGACAGTTCCTTGGCCTCATGACCTCATGCTATTCCTCTCCCTTTCTGAAATCCACTTAAATTCAATGATATGGGCATTGGGAATACAGACTCTAGGTACAAATGTCTGTTTGGCCACAATTATCACTTCTTGCAGAAAGAGAGGGGGAAGAGGAAGGATTACTCTGGATTTCAGACATTAATAATCTCAACCATCCTTGGGAACATCCCTTTTTTTAAAAAAACAGTTCCTGAAAGAGATTCCAGGAACAACCCAGGAAGCAGGAAAACAGACATAAGCTAATAATCTTGCATTCTTCTTAGATTATATGTCTTGTAACAGCAGCACCCTGAGGCCTCTGGTAGTGGATGAACCAGATTCTCCCTTGCTATACAGAACGATGAGTGAAGCAGCCTTGGTGAGAAAGAACATAAACCTTGGCAAGATAGAGAGAAGAGATCCACAGCATCACAGAGTGTCTATTAATGGCCACTTCTATAACCATGAGGTGAGTTAAAAATCAGTGGGCAGGGAGGGGGTTGTGAAGCATAGGTCGTTGAATACGATTTGGGGGTTGACTTTTTGTATTTTTGTGTGCTTTTTCAATGAACAAAATTTTATTTTCTCTCCTACTCGCCTCCCTTCTTCCCCCAATTGAAAAAAGAAAAAGGAAGGAAAGGAACAGAAGGGGTAAAGAGAAAAAGGGAAGAGGGAAGGAAGAAGGGAAAAGAAGGAAGGAGGAAAGGAAGGGAAAACCTATAAAACAGATACTCATGTTCAAGCAAATTCCCATTTTGGCCATTTCCAAAACATCCATCTCATTCTGCACCCAGTGGCCCTCACTTCTCTGTCAGGAAGGATATTGTCTGCTTTTTCATTGGTCCTCTGGAATCATGATTGGTAATTGTGAGGATCAGAGTCCTTCAGTCTTTCAAAATTGTTTTTGAAATGTTGTTACTATTATATAAATGTTATCCTAGTTTTTAATAGGATTTTTTAATAAATACTTTGGGAGAAAGACTCCATTTTACTAAAGGCATGGAGGACAAAACCTCATTTCTGAGGGCATAGACACTTGTTGTTATTTCCCAACAGCTATTCTAACCTGACTCTTTGTCTTTCTAACCTTGGACTCATTCAAGCAGCATTTCCTCTGAAGTCTAAAGGAATGGAAATTTCCTTTCCATATTCCCTTGATTTTTTGGCTCAACTTCTTACTCCCAGTTCAAGAATGTTTCTCCAAATTGTTCCCCGTTTGACCCTCCTATGATTTACAATGGCAACCTGTCATAGCCTCAACCTTTTTACTTTTTGTACAATATTTGTATAGTACTTTCAGTCAGTCAAATAACATCCATTAAGCACCTACTATGTGCTCGCACTGGTCTAAGCAGTGGGGATGCAAAAAAATGGAAAAGACAATTTCTGATCTCAAGGACCTCACCATTTAATGGTCTTTCAGGTTTGCAAAATATTTTTCTCCCTGCCCTGGAAGAGATTTGAGAGGTTATGACAAGAGATGATGTGCGTACCAAGCCGAGAAAACAGCAGTGCAATCTCTTGAAGACACAGCTCCATCTATCGGGGTACATGGATCATGACTCACAGATCACAGATTTGGAGCTGGAAAGGGCCCTAGAAGTCATTGAGTCTAATCTACTCATTTTCCAGATGAGAAAACTAAGGCTCAGGCAGGCTTGTCCAAGGTCACACAACTTGAAAGTGTGATAAGGTGGGATTTGAACTCAGGTCTGACTCCAGGTCCAGTCTTCTATCCACTCCACCAAACCGCCTCTGTTAGGCAAAAACTACTGAGACAAAATAGTCTGCTCCAGCCAGCAGATGTCAGTGGCCCAATAAGCATTTATTAAGCACTTACTATGTGCTGCACACTGTGTTAAGAGCTAGAGATACAAAGAAAAGTAAAAGACAATCCTTGCCTCCGGGGGTTCACAGTCTAATAACATGCAGATATATATACAAACAAGCTATATACAGAATAAATAGGAAATAACATACATTATAGACTATGAAAATGTCATACTGGGCACCTAGGCTAGTTATAATTAACTGAATATGTGATTCTTTACATACTGATCATGCATAGATGATGAGTTTCTAATCTCTTAGAATTTTATAATATCCATTTCAGCTAACTGCAGGTGCCTTGGGATAGAGATTATACATGGCTACTTAGATAATTACCCTACTCTGGGCCTCAATTTCCTCATCTGCAAAATAGATGGCCTTTGGGGCTCCTTCCAGCTAAAGAGCAAGGATCCTCCTCCTCCTCGTGTAGATCAAAGTCAATCCATACCTTTCCATCCTATGACATTCTTCCTGTATCTTTCCCAAAATCCTATATAGAGATTTTACTCAGTGATCTGGGATCTCAGTGAACCTTGAGGTTCTCCACCCCTGTGTGTGGTCTCTGTCTCTCTGTCTCAGACTCTGTCTTCATCCATCTCTGTTTCTCTGTCTGTCTTTTCTCCTTCCTCCCCCCTTCTCCTCTCCCTCTCTCTTCATCTTTTCCTTTCTCACCATCTCTCTTTCCCTCCCTCCCTCTCTCTCTCTCCTGTTCTCCTCTCATATTTTTGCATCTACCAACACACACATACATACACACACAATTAACTATCAAAAAGCATTTGTTAAATGACTATTATATGGCAGGTATTATTCTAGCTACTGAGGATACAAGTTCAATGAATGAAGCAATCCCAATCTGCAAAGAACTTTATCTATCTTTCTGTCTGTCTAATTATTTTTGTCTGTCTATGCTTTCATCTATCTCCATCTCTCTCCATCATTTCTCTATATAGTGTTCAGGCTATTCATCATTGTCCCTTCTCCTTAATAAATCATCAGCTCACTTCTTTCTCTGCCCATTCATGTCCTTGATGGTGTCTTTTATGTCACTGTTGACACATAAATCATTATTAGTAATGCCCTGTAATATGAAATTGAATTTAGGGAACAAAGTCCTCTACTAGAAACTTAACCTCTGGCATTATTTTCTTCTTCTCTCATTTGAAACCAACCCCCCCCCCCAAATTTTAAACCTAGGAACTCTAAGCATGTGAAGAAAATATAGAAGGCTTGTGAGGTCAAATTAACCAAGTAATGAATAGCATGCCCTGTTCTCCCATAGAAAGACACATAGATTTCCTGGGCAGAGCACAAAAACCAAATTAGACCATAAAGAAGAGATGAGAAAATGCACCTCGCTCCCTTCTTTGTAGAATTGGGGTTTGTGGATGTGAACCATTGCATATTCTATCACACTCCACTGATGTGTTGGCTGGTTTGGGTCAATTACTTTTCCTTCCTTTTTCTGTTTTATTCTCCATTACAAGGGATGGCTCTCTGCATGGGGGAGGAGAGGCATATATTCAGGAACTGAAGGTGTTACAAAGATAAAAGCTATAAAAATTTAAAAATCAGTAATCAATTAATATAGCAGGATCTTAAAAAACTCTTTTGGACATTCACAGATTTAGACCATGGTTCACGCTATTATTTTGTACCCAAAACTTTATATTGCTGATGCTCTGGGGCCTAGAGTTTAGGCCTTCTGCAAATAGAAGAATCAGGCCTGAGGATGTAGCTATAATGTTTATTTCCTTCTTCCAGACATCAATTTTTACTCCAGCTTATGGATCCCAAACCAAAGTGAGAATTAACAGTAACATGAGAACAGAAGAAGTAATAAAGCAGCTTCTACAAAAATTCAAGGTAATCTTTCCTTCTGAACTCAAGTGGAAATCACTAGTCCATGGCTTTGGTGACTTGGGTGCAAAATCCAGTGCAATCTCCGCCATTACTATTTCTACCACTGACAAGCTCAGGGCTTGGCCCATTGCCATTTCCTGCTTTGCTTCTCTATGTCTAGGTTTCCAACCACCCCAGTTCTTACGGGTAGGTGAGGATGTAGGCTTACCTCTTCCATCCTTGCCCTGTTTCCTGAAAAAATGTTCTAACCACCTTCCTTTTATGGTTTTTAAAAGGTTGTACCACTATTCACTATAGGGAGACTTATGAGATGATTATTACAGACAAATCATTGGGAAATCATAAAGGATTCTGCTAGTACCTGGCTCAGCCTTCTCTGATACTTGGGGCTCCCAAGATAGTTACCCCAAGCTAAAGGGACTACATCCTTTAGTAGTGGGTCTACTACACTCAGTGATCTGGGAACCATCCTCTAGTCTCTGTCTCTCTTTCTCTATGTCATCTCTATGGCATAGGTCTAGATCTCCTCTCAGTATCCAGTTAATATAGTTATTTTTTCTCTCATCAACCAGAGGACATAATTGGTTTGAAGCAAAGTCAGATAATGAAAGAGCATAGCAAGAACAGTAATAATGAACTATTAGCTAGGGCACACTATGTTAAAAATACACCATTAGTTGGAAGGGTGGCATTTATTTAGAAGTGGCAAATGGGGATTACACGCAAAAGGAAGATGTGTGGCCAAGAAGGGCAAGTTATGCCAGCCTTCCCTGCCCCCCACCCCAAGAACACTGATATCTTCTTAATGATGCCATTGCATTGCTCTCGGTGGGCCTTCTTCTCCTTGAGTGTGGTGGGTCATGACCAGTCATCTTGACTTTTGCCTTGCCACTGAACTCTGATGACTCTGGAGAAGAGAATGGGGCTGATAACTTTGCACAGCTCTGCCCCACTTAAATATAATTTATAGGAAGTCAGTCATCACCCTCATGATGTCATTGGTCCTCTTCAAGACAAACAAAAACAAACAACAATTTCCAACATTCCCTACTAGTCTCATGGTGAGTGCTAGACACATGATTTCAACTACGCCTTGATCTCATCATCTTATGTGGTGGCTTATACCTTCTAGGTACAAAGTCTCTACTGGGTAATGATGTCTGCTACCAACTTTTGGCCTCTTCTTTTATCTCTAGGCTGCTAGGGTATAGTAGCTAGAACCTCTTCCTGATAAGAGGAGGCTGATTGCTTTTCAGTCATTTCACCAGTCATTCAGTAAGCATTTATTAAATGCCTACTATGTGCCAGGCACTGTGCTAAGAGTATAAAAGAAGCAGCTGGTAGAGCAGTAGCCTGGAGTCAGGAAGACCCAAGTTTGAATGTGATCTCAGACACTTAACTATGTGACTCTGGGCAAGTCACTTAATTGCTACCTGCCTCAGTTTCCTCAGCTGTTAAGTGGAGATAATAATAGCACCTACCTTGTGGGGTTGTTGTGAGGATCAAATGAGATAATATTTGTATACTTAGCACAGTTCCTGGTACAAACTAGATGCTATATAAATGCTTATTTCCTTCCCTTCTCTTTCCCCTTGCTCCCAAGGAGCTCGTAGTCTAAAGGGTGAGTCAACATGGAAACGATTTTGTGTAAACAAGATTTATTTGGGATAAATTGGAGATAATTTATCAATGGAACAGGTATCTGGAAAGGTGAAGTGAGATTTTAGCTGGTCCTTAAAGGAAGGCAGGGGAGCTAAGAGGTGGATATAAAGAGCATTACTATATCCAAGTATACAAGCAGAGCTCTCCCAAGCTAAGAGGAAGCCTTTTAGACTTCAGGTTTTAGGTGGGCCAAAGTCCAGGGTTACTGCAGACTATCTAGCTTGTGACCTTACATGTTCCTAAGATTCTCTCTGGCTTAGCACCCAAATGATTTGGAGTTAGAGCAAAAGATAAGAAGCACTGTCACCTTTCTCTGTCTAGTCCTGTGCCTTCCTACCAAGGCCCCTGCCTTTACCAGTCATATCAGTTGAAGGCAAAACCCCATTTGCTTCACCTTATTTTGACCAATGGGTAAAAACAAAACCTTTCTCCTGAAAATTCTAGAAGGTGGTAGTAGTAGTAGTAGTAGTAGTAGTAGTAGTAGTAGTAGTAGTAGTAGTAGTAGTAGTAGAAGATGAAGATATTCAGAAAATTAAGCTTTAGATTTTCTCAGGATTTGGGATCTTCATTGGATTTTCTCCCTATTAGTCTGAACAAATCCTTTCTGGGCTTTTCCTGACAGTAGCAGATGAGGTCACTGTGCAACACCCTCTCTGCCACAACTAACTCTATGAGCCCCCTTGTACCCACAGCCTCAGGATTACCCCCAGCGTAGTTCAGGGATTTCAACACTGATGCATGAAAGCTAATCGAAATATTTTTACACAACAGAAAGTTATGATTGTTTATTTTTCTTTAACAGATTGAAAACAATCCCCAGGATTTTGCCCTTTACATTATCTATGCAACTGGAGGTAAGAAAAGGAGGTAATTGAAATCATCTGATTCTTTTCATGAGTCCTTCCTTTAGAGACCGTTGGGGGGGGTTTGTTTTTGTTTTTGTTTTAATCAGTAAGAAAGTCAGATGGCAAAATTGTTTCATTTTGTGAAAAATGGAAGGAGTTGGCATTTTTGTGCCACCATCTTATATTTAGGGCAACCAGGATTCCAGATACTCCTAGAAATTTGATAACATACAAAGGACAAGAAAATATTTGGCACTTATCATTATAATTACCTAGTATTTAGCTTGGATTGTTTTTTGTCCTTTTCATTTCTAATGTATCAATCAATCAGTAAACGTTTGCCAAGCACTTACTATGTGCCAGGCACTGTGTTAAGCACTGGGAATACAAAAAGAGGTAATATACAGTCCCTGCCCTCCAAGAACTTAAAATTTAGTGGGGAGACAACATTCAAACAAATATATACAAAACAAACAAAGTCCAGGATAAATAGGAAATAATGAATAGAAAAAAGGCACTGGGATTTAGAGGGGTTGAGGAAGGCTTCCAATAAAGTCGGGACTTAAAAGAAGCCACCGTGTATACTATTTTCCTAGTTCTGCATACTTCTCTCTGTATCAGTTCATATAAGTCTTCCCATACTTTTCTGAATTCGTCATATTCATCATTTTTATGGCATGGTTAACATTATCATTCTTGTACCACATTCTGCTTAACTTGCTTGCCTATTCATCAGTCTCTGTTTTTTATTTTCAGAAAAGAGACGGCTAAAGAAGACAGACATTCCCTTGTTTCAGAGGCTTTTGCAAGGTCCCTCACAGAGGAATGCCAGGATTTTCCTCATGGACAAAGATGCAGAAGAAATCAGTAGTGATGTATGAGACGGCATCCTCCAGAATCTTTCTTTGTTTTCTTTGAGACTCAGTGCTTCTCACAAATATGTTTGATTTTGTCTCTTCCTTTCTTAGGTGGCTGACTACATTCACTGTCACCTTTCTCTCTTGGAATCAATCCTTCAAAGATTAAATGATGAAGAAGCACAAGAGATTCAAAAAATAATCACAAAGTGAGTAGAAATTCTTATATTAAGTTCATTTGATTTTGTTGCCAAACCAAAGCACATTTAAGTGCTTTTCCTTTTCTTCTTTCTTTTTTTACTTTTCAGATTCAGTGCAGAGAAGTCTTTTATACGAAAACATCTTCAAAATAAAATGATAGTAAAGACAGAGACAACAGTGTAGTGTAACAAACACCATGGATCAAACACTTTGGCCAAGTGAAAAGTATTTGCATACTTAATGAGTGCATGAATATTGTAGGTACATGCATTAATATAGGAACTTCGAGCTTGTAGAAAATCATCTGACCAGGAAATTTCACCTCCATAGGAAGAGGTGAAGTTGCCTTCATATTAGAATTGGGGTACTATGTATCCTGAAAATTAGATGGCCAGAGTAGTACTCATTTTTTTTTCAAAGTTAGAGAGGCATTTTGGACAGTGTGAATTTAAAATCTCTTCCTTAGCTTGAACGTTGTGAACTAACTCTTTGCAAGAAATGACAAATGAAATGGGAAATAAAGACTGCGAACACTTTTGGAAAAAAAAGACACATTCTTTATGTTGCAAAGAAATTCAGTTTCACTGAGTGGAATTTATAGATCATTGATGACTTGGGTTTTCACAAAAATGAGGATGACTTTGCAAGTTGGCAAGTGAGCTTCTGTTATCTGCTTGTTATCCTGATAAAACCCCAGAGGACCAAAGACCATAGGCACCTAGTAAACTACAATATCTGCAGGCGGACCTTTCCCAGCATTACTGGCCTTCTAGTTCCTTTGCCCTGAAGGGACTTCTGTATAGGAAGTATGACATCTGGTAAAGGATTTCATGGAAAGTTCAAAAAGCTGTCCCTGACTTCCTATTTATTGTTTTCCAGAGCTAACTTTCAAAACACAAAAGAAATTCTGAAAACACAACATGAATTTGGAACTTGTGGTGGTTATTTTTATATGTAGTTGTTGTCATCAACAATAATTTTTTAAGCAATTCCTTATAAGGGTCAATAGGTCTTTTTCTTAATCTACCTCCATTTTTATTTCTCATGATATCGTCTAAAAAAAACTAAAACATTTTATGTGTTATATAGACTAGAGCACTGTACGATAAGTACACAGCTGGAAAATTACTTTTGAATGTTAAAATACATATCACAATCATTTCAAAGATATATAATTCTAAATTATCACCAAAATGGACTGGAGTGTGTTCACATACATTAAATTATATTAAAGACCTCCTTGTATGGTATACTACATGTGACCAGGCTTTCATTACTCTGCTTGACTTTTGGTAACTGTCAAGAAAAAGATGCCTACTTACTAAATATGAGACTGAGAATATAGACTGTAACTCATAGCGCTCTAACTCATATATTCATAGAGAATATAAGATAGAGTTTATAAATCATTAATGACTTTTGGGTTTTCACAAAAATGAGGATGACCTTGCAAACTGGCAAGTGAACTTTTTATATGTGATAGAGACTAGAGTCCTGTATGATAAGTACACAGCTGGACAACTACTTTTAAATATTAAAATACACATCTCAGTCATTTCAAAGACATATAATTCTAAATTATGGCCAAAATTGACTGAAGTGTGTTCATATACATTAAATTATATTAAAGACCTCCTTGTATGATATACTACATGTGACTGGGCTTTCATTACTCTGTTTGCTTTTTGGTAACTCTCGAGGAAAAATTTGCCCAATTGCAAAATGAGAGGCTGAAAATATAGACTATAACTCATAGTGCTCTAACTCATATATTCATAAAGAATATAGAGTAGAATTTATAGATCATTGATGACTCTTGGGTTTTCACAAAAATGAGGATGACCTTGCAAGTTGGCAAATGAACATTTTATATGTGATGCAGGCTAGTGCTCTGTAGGATAAGTATACAGCTGGAAAATTACTTTTCAATATTAAAATAACACATCACAGGAGCTTACAACTCATGCTACTTTCTGATAACTTTCCTTAGTTGAGAAGACTAAATTACTTACACCTTGAAAGAAATGGATTTCATCACAAATGCTTTTATTAAGTATTTACAAAGATGTCAGGCACTGTGCTAAACTCTGGGAATACAAAGGAAATATGTGCAATCGCTGCCCTCAAGGAACTCACATTTTAATGGAAGAGACAACATGCAAATAACTATTTTTATATAAGATTTATGCAGTGCAAATGGAAAGAAATCTCAAAAGGAAGGCACTAGCAGCGGGGAGGTAGGGCAGGAAAAGGAAGGACCTCTTGAGAGACTGTGAGCTTTGAGCTGAGTCTCAAAGGAGGACTCACTCAAGGAGGTGGAGGTGAGGAGGAAGAGTGAATGCACAGGAATCTCCAGTGCAAAAGCCTGGACTTGGTAGATAACATGTCATGTGTGATGAACAGGAAGGAGGCCAATGTAGCTGGACAATACAATGTGTGAAGGGGAGGGAGCCAAATTCCAAACAGAGAACTATCCTGAAAGTGACAAAGAACCACTAGAGTTTGTTGAGCTAGAGAGGTGATGTGCTCCAACCCGAACTTTCAGAAAATCACTTTGGCACCTAAATCAAAGGTGCATTAATATGAAGAGAGACTGGAGGCAGGGAGACCAACCAGAAAGCTATTGCAAACATCCAGCCTAGAGGTGATGAGGACCTGTGCTAGGGTAGTGTCGGTGTGAATGGTGAGAAGGGGACTTAGGCAAGAGATGTTATGAAAGAAGAAATGAGCAAGATCTAGCAATGGATTGGATGGATCTGTGGCATGAATAAGAGGGAGAAGTCAAATATGACACTGAGGTTGTAAGCCTGGATGACCAGTAGGATGGTGGTGTTTCCTTCACCAGTTACAAGAACGTTTGGAAGAGAGGAAGGGTAGGGCATGGCAGGTAGGGAAAGATTACAAAATAATTTTTGTACATGTTGATTTTGAGAAGCCTGCAGAACCTCCCCTTTGAGAAGCTCCAAAGGCAATTGGTGATTCAGGAATGAAGATCAGCAGAGAAACTATGACTGGATAGGTAGATCTGGGCATAACCCATCTAGAGAAGATCACTGAACCCATAGGAGCTAATAACATCACTGAGTGAGCCAGTAAAGAGGGAGAACTGAAGATCACTCAGGATATCCACTGTTGGTGGCCATGCCCTGAATGAAGATCCTAGAAGGAATAGAAAGAGCAGTGAGACAGGTAAGAAGAGGAGAACCAGGAGAGAGCAGGGCCGTAAAAGCTTAGAGAGGAGGAGAGGGCAATGAGGAGTTTCACAGCTAGCAGAAAGGGAGTTCAGGAAGAATGGGGGTTGGAAAAAGCCATTTTGTTGTTGAGTCATTTTTCAGCCATGTCTAGCTCTTCATGACCCTATTTGGGGTTTTCTTGGAAATGATACTGAAATGGTTTTCCATTTCCTTCTCCAGCTCATTTTACAGATGAGGAAACTGAGGCAAATAAGCTTAAGTGACTTACTCAGGATCACACATCTAGTAAGTATCTAAAGCCAGATTTGAACTCAGGAAGATGAGTCTTCCTGACTCTAGGCCCAGCACTCTATGCACTATGGCGCCCCCTGGCTGTGCTGGCAAAGGACATTAGATTTGACAATCAAGAAATCCTTAGCAACTTTGGAGCAAGCAGTTTTCAGTTGAATGATGAGTGTGATATGAGATCACAAAGGATTTAGAAGCACATGTGAGTAGAGGAAGTGACAGTACCTCCTGTAAGCAGCTTTCTCAGGGAGTGTAGGCAAGGGAGAAGAGATGTAGAATGGTATCTGCTAAGGCTAACCAAATGAGGGTTTTTTGGAAGGAGAGAGACATAGGCTTCAGCAGAGGACCCATTATATAGGAAAATAACTGAAGTTCAGTGAGAGAAAGGGGATGACGGAGGAGGCAACATGCTGGAAAAGACAGGAGAAGATGGGTTCAAGGATGCACATTAGGGGGGTTTTCTTGGCAAGAAGAATTTCATCTCTACTGTTTTCTTTAAAAATGGAATAAATAATACTAATTTCAGGAGTTTAATAAATTAGTGGCATCTGTACAGTGATTTAAACTTTGCTGTTCAGATTCACACAATCCCTGGGAATTCTGTATCATAGGTAGCATTTTCAAGGATTTTGCAAATGGGAAAGCAGCCTTAAAGAGGTTTAACCATAGTCATCAGTCAGGATCTGAACCCAGGTCTTCCTGACTCTTATGCCTAGCACATTGCCCCCTAAAATGCAGTGTGACACAATGGAAAAGACACCAAATTCAAAGTGAGAGGATGTGAGATTGGATCCTTGCTGTGCCACTTGAAGCCTGTGTAACCTGTAACTTCACCTCTCAAAATGGTAGGTTGAGAAGTTAGGGGGAAATGTTGGCCTAAATAAGAGTTTCTTAGCCTGCATTCCATAAACTTTTTTTTAAATATGTTGCTAACAATATCTCAATATAACTTGTCTCCTTTATAATTCTGTATGTTTTACTTTATGTATTCAAAAATAAAACTTTGCAAAGAGGTCCATAGGCTTCACCAAACTGTCAAAGGGGGCCATGACACAATAATGGTTAAGAACTCTTGGCCTAAGGTTATTGGCCTAACTCTTGGCCATTTCTAAATGTATGATCCTAAGAAAGTCTTTAATACAGTTGTTGGGAGGGGTGAAGGGAGACAGTGATGGGGATTCATGCATGGGTGCCATTCCATGGAACATGTATGAAGCTGAAATGAGATCCCCTGGCCACTTCTAGTCATACTCTATGGCTTTACCCTGAAGGGGTTAAGCTTTGTGATGATGATGCAATGTCCTTATTAGCTCCTTAGACCCTTCACCTGTGGTATGCCCAAGAGGACAAGAATCACCCAGAAGGAAGAGAAATCACTTCCACACTCACTCCTCTTCCATCTGCCCAGCATGTTGACACTTTCTCATGAGGTAGGGAGGGGCTCCCATTCTCTTATCCTGAAAAGCTTTGGAGGCTGCTCATGCATGATAGAAAGAGCATATGTCCATCTACAGGAACCTGAAACTAGATCCCAGGTCTCTGACTGCCTCTTCTGTTTTGTGTTTCTTTCCCTGAGGACATGGGATCGTGATGGATAAACTTTTCAGGAGTTGCTCCCTCAAGAGTGTGGGGGTCCCTGGGTTCCTCCTGAGTCAGAGCTGACTGACAGTAGGGGGGACTTTTCTGTGATTATATTCTGCTCAGAGATGACCTCTGGTAGGCAGATGAACCCAAGCCATCTACTGGTTTTGTGGGAGATGAGGACCTTGGGGGAGTTGGTTGGACAGTTCAGAGCAAAAGTGAAAGAGAAATAGCTCTCCACCTATCCCGGAAAATGTTTTATATTTTGACATTTTAAGTATCAATCCTGTAATAGAAATTATAGCTTATGTTTTAATAGTTGTTTGTCAATGTGTGGCAATGAGCCTTTTGTGTTTTAAGTATTTCTTTTTTAGAGAAGTAAATAAATGACTATCATATACCTAATCCTCTTTGTGCATTGAGTTCCTTTGTAGAAACAACCCTGAGAAGTCCTCTTTTAAGAAACCCTGCACATGAACCCATCTAAGCTTTGTTTAAGTTATTGTCCCTGGAATTCTCTTCCATCGAGTGCTGGAGGCAGGGTGGGTTTATACCAAGACAGAGTGTATAAGAAAAGCCTGGTTCCCCTCTTTGGGACTCAATTACTCCCATGGCTAACTCCCAGTGAGTTAATGTGAGCCAAAAGCTGGGACCTCTTAGTGAGAGAGCATTCCCCAACTCCCCAGTCTGCTAATCTACACACAACATCTTCTTTATGGAGAGGTTGGGCTTTTAGCAACTTCCATACCTTCAGAATATAACCCTCAAACCAAAAGTAGGAGGAAAAGACCTCTGATGCCCAGACCAGCTGTCCCAGAAAGTAAGTACTTTAGTCCCTCACTGAGAAACTTATTGACTTGGGGTGGGGCGGGGAAGCCTTGGCTACCAAGCTATATGCTTACATTCTTATCTTGATTTTTAAAAAAGCCTTTATATAAGTATAGAGAATAACTTTGATGAAACTATGAGAAAAGAACAGACAGGTTTTTGCAGACAGATGATTTCCTACAAAAGACTACATCTTCATAGGCTACTAGTGGAATATACTATATCATAAAGAAAATCCTAGTGTCTCTTTTTGGTTAATTTCATAAAATCATCTGAGTAGGTGGAGCAGAAAGCAGTTTTAAATGTTCTTCTCAAGTAAGATAATTCACATGTTAAACTCACAGATTTTAGGACAGATGTGACAACAAATGGCTGTTCAAGCATTCCCTGAACATCATCAAGCAAATCACAAAACAGGGAGTCCTGCACTCACCAAAATCACTTATCGGGGTCCCAGCAGCTAGGCGGCACAGTGACTAGAGTGAGAGACTTGAGGTCAGAAAGATGATTTCAAATCCTGCTTCAGACACTTACTAGCTGTGTGACCATAGGCAAGTCACTTAATCCCTCTCAGCCTCAGTTTCCTCATCTGTAAACCACGTTAAGATTTGGCTATATAGATGCTATCTATTATTATGTTCAATACAAGGTGCAAGTGAAAGAGGGATTCCCCACTGATGTCAAATTTCTCCGAAAGTCTCCTTTTGTAGATAACATTGTGATGATTATATCAAGCTCCAGAACTCCATAGGACCCCTTCATTAAGTCCAAGGCCTTTGGAACAGTAGTGTAGTAGAATGGCAACTGAGAGGACCTGGAGCCTAATCACGCCTCTGATGCTAACTCCCTGTGTGACTTTTAGTATTTTCCCAGTTGTACAATGTGGCTGACAAATCACGGATCTCACAAGAATTAAATTGGCAGGTGATCTGATGATTAAAAAGAGCATGAGGACATGATTACATATACGTATGAGAAGTGAGCAGATCATGCAAGGACAACAGAGGATAGTAAATGAACACCCTCATACCGGCCATGGTATTCAGGAAATAAAGTAGAAACCAAAGGAAGGTCTCCATTACATCAAGGGCATCTTTTCTGGAGGATTTCTGGAAAGGCAGACAAGAATTAAACAGGATAAGAAAGTTTAGTGGAAGGATTTTGACCCGCACCCAATAAAGCCCTAAATCGACTGAAGTAACAGACAATTCTTACTAA